AGGGGGACAGCTTGAGGCTCTGTCTCAAAAAATAATAATAAAAATAAAAATAAAAAATAATACAGGTTGAATATCCTTCTCCAAAAGGCTTGGGAACAGAAATGTTTCAGATACTGTTTTTTTTCAGAATTTGGAATATTTGCATTATATTTACCAAGTTGAGCATCCTTCATCTGAAAATCCCAAATCCCATATGCTCCAATGATCATTTCTCTTGATCGTGACCTTTTTTTTTCCCCCTCGAGACCGAGTCTCACTCTGTTACCATAAATAAAGTACCCTGATCATCATAGCCCATAGCAACCTCAAATTCCTGGGTTCCAGCAATCTTCTTGCCTCAGGCTCCAGAGCAGCTGGAACTATAGGTGCCCACCACAACACCAGGCTTACTTTTCTGTTTTTAGTAAGATATGGGGTCTTGCTGTTGCTCAGGCTGGTCTTGAACTCCTGAGATAATCCACCTGCCTCGGCCTCCCAGCGTGCTAGGAGGATTACAGGCATGAGCCACCATGGCTCTGAAAAAGTTTCAGATTTTGGCAAGGTGCAGTGGCTCATGCCTATAATCCTACCTCTCAGGGAGGCTGAAGTGTGTAGATTGACAGAGCTCAGGAATTCAAGACCACCCTGAGCAAGAGTGAGATCTTGACTCTATTAAAAATAGAAAAACTAGCTGGGTATTGTGATGAGTGCCTATAGTCCTAGCTGCTCAGGAGACTCATGAATTTGAGTTTGCTCTGAGCTATGACACTTCAGCCAGGGCAAAAAAGTGAGGCTCTGTTTTTTAAAAAAAAAAAAAACATTCAGATTTTGGAGCATTTCAAATTGTGGATTTTTAGATTATAGGTGTTCAACCTATATATATTTTTTTTTCTTTTTTTTTTTTGCAGTTTTTGGCCAGGGCTAAGTTTGAACCCGCCACCTCTGGCATATGGGGCCAGTGCCCTACTCACTGAGCCTTAGTTTTGTTTCAACCTGTATATTATTAAAACAGATGATAATGGTATTTTTTCCTACTGAATTTATAATAACAAATTATATAATTAAACTGATAAGTAGTGGGGGGTATGGTAGGAAGCGATGATGTTCCTTTAGTACATATATATGCATACACAAACCAAACTATGTTATTACCTTTTTTTTTTTTTTCTTTTTTTGTGGCACAGTCTCACTATGTCGCCCTTGGTAGACTGCCTTGGCAACAGAGATCACAGCAAGGTCAAACTCTTGGGCTTAAGTGATTCTCTTGCCTCAGCCTCCCAAGTAGCTGGGACTATAGGCACCCACCACAATGCCCGGCTATTTTTTGCTTGCATTTGTCACTATTGTTCAGTAGGCCCAGGCCAGAATCAAATCCACCAGCCTTGGTGTATGTGGCCGACG